AACCAAGATGTCACATTTTAAACAGAAGGTGACATGTAAATTGGTACGAATAATCCCAGCCAATAGGATGTTGGGGGGTAAATTAGTAAAATCATTTAGGGAGGGTGCATTTAGGAAGGTCTGACTGTATTTAAATCAAAGCTGAATTTACTTAACCCCAATCCGGATTCAAGTAAACCAAGTTGGGCATCCAAACCGTTCTATAGAACAGGTAGGCAAACTTCGCAAACTCCCTATTAAAAAATTAATGATTACTAATCATTAGCGAAGCTTATTTCTTATATTGACCACCTACATCCTTTGGGTTTATTTAAGTAAACCCAATTCGGGTTCAAGTTAAGCCAATCCGAGTTCAAGGTAAAACCCAATCCGGTTTCAAGTAAACCCAAAAAAAAAATTATAAACTCGGGGACATGTAGATGCATATGGCCAATCATCAAACACTTAGCTTCAAATTATCATTTGATGTTTCTTCGAAAAGGTTCACTCGTTTCAAATGGAAATACACACCGAGAAAAAACAGCCTACATGCAATTCGAACAAGTCTACAAAACCCAAGTCATCAGAAAATATTAAAAAGATTAAAGAACGGATCATTCAAACCAATCAGTTGCTAAACCTTTTTAAAACAAAAGAAAAAGGTTATAGCTTTTTCTTTGTCTAGTACTCGCAAGTTTATTTGACGTGTATTTTGACTTTTGTTTGAACACTGTCACCTCAGAACTTACTCAACATAAAGAAAGCATTGCATTTCTGGAACAAAACCAAACCAAGTCAAAAACGCAACTAGCATTACTAAATAAAGAAATTGAAGTTTTTCGTAAAGCCGCCCAGCAATTTCGTACTGAAGCTGAAAATTTAAAGCAAGATTTAGATCAAAAAAATGCCCAGCTAAAGGACCAATCTGCAATGACGGTTGAAATTAAACGACTTCGATCCGAAAATGACAAATTAGGAAAACGAGTAAAATCACTTGAGGTAAGAATTCGTTATGTTTACACAGTAAATCTGAATTAGCTATACAGATATAAAAGATATAAAAAATAACTATCTAACTTTTAGGTCTTAAAAGACCAATTGGAATTCAAAGTACAAGAAAGTGATGCTACGAACGATATACGAGAAAACCAAAAAAAAGAAATTTCTCGATTGAAAAAAGAACTCGAAAAGAAGTAAGCTTCTCATAAATTCCTTGTAGATACTAATCTCTTTAACTAGAGATGGAATAGCTTTAATCAAAAATCATAAAAACGAAAAAAAATATATACATATATATATATAATTGACATATTTTCAATGGCAAATTTACATTATTTCATAAAGTAATTGATATTCAGTTTATCTTGCGGTGCTAGTATTGCACAACCTCTATACTCCGTCGGGCCCCTAGTATTGCACTATTTCTAGGTGACCTTTGAAATATCTTAAAAAAATTTTGAGGGTTGATACATTGAGTTTATTTCCTTTTGTTCTGATAACTTAAAATTTTTCTAATAATACAGAGACGAATTATGCAATAAAAACCAATCCTCCAAAGAAATATTAGATGCCAAAGTTAAAAAACTTCAAAAAGAAGTTGATAATTTAAACGAGCTGTTGCTCGAATATAAATCTGAATCAAATACACTAAGGGATGAAAAAAATGAGAAAGATGCAATTATCGAGTCTTTAAATCAACAATTAGAAGATTTAAGTCACCAAGCGACAAGTGCAGATAAACTGATGCAGGATATTAACGAGCTTAAAATTCAAATACAAGCGGCTCATGATGAAAATATAAAAAAACAGCGAGAATGTAGTCAGCATTCTAAAGCGTTGTGCAAGCTCAAGAGGCAAAATGCCAGTATCGAAGATTTGAAACGTAAAAATCTGGATCTTCAAAATAAACTACAAGAAGCTCACAAGCAAATTTCAAACACGTGCAGCGAAAATGACATGTCTGGCAAAGTCGTACACGAAGAAAATAATAATACTAGTCAACATATTATTTTATTGGTAAAAGAAATACGATCCTTGAAAGATGATATAAAAAAATTAGAAACACAGAAGGTAATTTTCGATCATGACTGCTCATATTCATAGTGGTTATTTATGCACTTATATCTATTTATAGAGGGCTTTACAAGACCTAGTAACATCACAGCAAGTAGAGATTTTACAACTACAAACATCGAAAAAATCAGACGCACTTGCACGCGTCAATGTAAGTTGACTACTTCATTATTTATCTTTTTTAAATAGAGCGTTTTTGATTATTGTTGAAAATCTTGCATTGAAATTAGGCCATAGAAGCGCTATATAATAAATCATCTAGTGCAATATTGCAAGATCAATCGTTTCAAACGTCTTCAATTCATGATGTAACTGTGTCCCCTATTACCGATAATATGGAAATTGCTTCAATATC